ATCTTCCTCAATCTTTTAAAATGAAAGCCGATGGTTTAAAAACTTAGAAACTGTTTAAGTTGTTTTTCTGCTTTTGCTAGCTTGATCAGTCCATCATGGCATGTCACTTCTAATTCCCTGATAAGGTACTTCTAAACCTTCAAGAGCAGAGGGCTGATCACAGCTTGTCTGCCCCGTTACACCTTTAAGCTGGCAACTGGGCCAAGGAGTATCAAATGCTCCAACTTGGAAAAGTTGTGGCATGTTGTAATTACTACAGAGCAGCATCTGGGCAGCTGAGAAGAAGACATTAGCCCTTTCCTCATCTCTCTTTGATTCTGTTTTAATTCTACTGTGATGCGTGCTAACTTCATAAGTAAGGAAGCAGGTGTACAAATATGCAGAGGGGGGAGGGGGGAAGAGGGAGATTAGATTTCAAAGCCTCTTAGCCTGCCCTCAGAAGCAGCAGGCATGTTTTGCTACTCATCTGGCATTTTTATCATGCACATATGCTTTAGCCCAGCACCGTTGCCAGGAGTTAGGGGTTTTCCCAACATTTAATCTCTAAAAAGTAGCTTCAGAGCTCATCACTGCAAGCCTTGATCCTGGAAGCTGGCCTCCTGACTTTAAATGCACACTGGGGCAGTTGACAGCAGCTATTTCATCCTGTGTCAGTGTATTGGGGTTTGGTGTTCTGACTTTTCATAGATCATGATGAAAGCTGGTAAGAGAATGGAGAGCAGATCAAGGCAAAAAGCAGCAGGTGCAGTAGCTATGAATTGCAAACATGGTCACAGCTGGGTCCCCTTCAGTCAAACAGCAGCCGAGACTTTGTCAGGGTTTGTGGGCTCATAATGCACCAGTTTTTCTTGGCGTGGGCTTTTCCAGATTGGATGGAGTGGGAATTCTGGGGATTGAAACCCAATTCATCTTCAAAAGGAACCGTATTGGCAAAAGCTGATTACAGTCAGGATCTTGAGCTGCAAGATATTGTATGCTTTTGGGAGTGCTCCCTTCTAGTTTTAATTATTTCTCTGGCACTTAGAAACAAGCTTCTGAAAATGATTCCTCCTTAGATTAAGCCATGGGTTTTCCCTTTCCACAGAGGAATGCATGATGATAATGATAATTACAAGAGGAGAAATAGAAGCAAAACTGGAAGTGAGCCAGGCAGAGTAGATTGTATTATCCCATAAGCAAACTCCCCTTTTGCACAGGATTAACCATGAGATTGGAGACTGGTAGCAGAACATCTTTGTTAAGCTAATAGCCAGCTTATATACAAATTTCTTAAAATGGGGAAGTCTTTGTGATGATCCCAGGAATGTAATACTGAATAAGCATACAGAACAGACCTGCTGGACTTGGATAGGAATTGCTAAGGAATCCAGCAAGCACCCTTCACCACGATGGAGACCCCTGGCACTCCCCATACTGGTTCTGCAATTGATTTTGGAATCCACAGGGCTCACAACCTACAAGTAACTGAGTCTTCATGATGATGGAATTAAACTCCACGTATTCTTATTCTTTTTAAAGTTGCCCATAGCAGCCGTTCCAACATCTTGTGATAGTGAATTTCACAGGTTAATTACCTGTTGGAAAAAGTTCTTCTTTCTGCTCTGTTTTAAATCTCCTTTTTAGACATCAGATTACATTAGTTTAGATTCATTGGATGGTCCTACCTTAGCATTTTGAGTGAGGGGAGATATTTAAGAACTTCTAGTCAACTGCCACTGATTTTATTCCCTTTAATCATGTCATCCTACGCCAAAGTACCTCCAACATTTTAACCTTGGCTACCTCGTGGTGTACTTTTTTATATACCTCTGCTATACAGGTAGTCCTCAACTTACAGCCATTCATTTAGCAACCATTCCAAGTTACAATTGCACTGAAAAGAGTGACTTACAGCTGGTCCTGTCATTTACAACCATTGCTACATCCCCACAGTCATGTGATCAAAATTCAGCAATTGGCATGCATTTACAATAGTTGTGGTGTCATGGGGTCATGTGATCCCCCTTTGCATTTTGACCAGCAAAGTCAGTGGGAGATTTGCTTAATAACTACATGATTCCTTTAACAACCGCACCGGCTCCCTTAACAAGCATGACAAAAAAGGTTGTAAGATCAGATGCAACTCATTTAGCAACCTCCTTTTTAGCAACAGAAATTCTGATGCCAATTGTCATAAATTGAGGGCTACTTGTATATTTTTTTCAAGTGCAGCTATATTCATAGCATGTGTAGAACTGCAGCTGCATACTGAGTTGTTATCTTGAGCTACCAACTATGATCCAAGATCTTTTTCTTGGATAGTTTCAGATGGCTCAGAGCTCAAAATAAAGTTAGGGGAAAGTTACCTCATCGTTTTACACTTAAACCGAACCTTCTTTGCCATTTGGTTGAATGTCCACCTAGTTCAAAGAGGTCTTTCTTTTACCACCTTGAATACTTCAATGTCATCTCTTGACTTGTCCAGCTCATGTCTTAAGTTTTTGAATAATTTTAACTGTATGGCTGTGAAAGTTGGACCATAAGAAAGGCTGAGCGCAAAAGAATTGAGGCCTTTGAACTATGGTGCTGGAGAAGACTCCTGCGAGTCTCTTGGACTGCAAGGAGTTCAAACCGGTCAGTCCTAGAAGAGATCAACCCCAACTGCTCTTTAGAAGGCCAGATCCTGAAGTTGAAACTCAAATACTGTGGCCACCTAATGAGAAGGAAGGACTCACTGGAGAAGGGCCTAATGCTGGGAAAGATTGAGGACAATAGAAGAAGGGGACGACAGAGAAGGAGATGGCTGGATGGAGGCACTGAAGCAGTAGGTGTGAACTTAAATGGACTCCAGAAGATGGTAGAGGACAGAAAGACCTGGAGGAACGTTGTCCATGGGGTCGCGATGGGTCGGACACGACTTCGCAATTTACAACAACAACACTTGACGGCCTCCATATCTTACTTCTGTCCATTAAAAAAGGGGCCATTTATTTTTATTCATAGTTTTCTGTTTGTAACCCAAATAACAATACACAGAAGGCCAAATCATGTCACCCCATACTTGACAAGCTTTCCCAAGAGCTTTTGACAAACAGATTTTTCTGAAGGCTTTTTGAAAACCTAAACATACAATGTTAGCAAGATCACTTCCATCCATGGATCAGCTGGCATTCTCCAAAATCAATAGTAGGTTGGCTGGACAGGAGTTACCTTGGTGGATCCCATGCTGATTTCTTCCTGGCCAGCTTGATCCTCTGTATGCATAGTCATTTTTTGTTTTCATTATTTTTACCATGTTTTTTGGAACCTGCCTATAATTTCCTGGATCTCCTCTGAGTCCCTTTTTAAATCATACTGGCTACCTTCCAATTCTCTGGCACTGAGCCTCATTTGAATGACAAATTAGAGCAATTCCTTTTTTGAGGGTTTTTTTTTTTTTTTGAGAACTCTTGGATGGATGCCATCAGGATTCAATGATCTGTTGAACTAATATTTCTCAATTTCTCAATCTTGGCAATGTTCAGATGTTTGGACTTCAATTCCCAGAACTCCCCAGTCAGCATGACAAACACAGTGTTGCAGCAATTTCTCTCAAGATATTCTAAAGCAGGGGTCTTCAGACTTGGCCCTTTTATGACTTGTGGACTTCACGCTGGCTGAGGAATTCTGGGAGTTGAAGTCCATAAGTCATAAAAGGGCCAAGTTTGAAGACCCCCTGTCCTAAAGTATCTTCTATCTTTGCCACAATTTGCTTTAATTATTCCATTTACCCCCTACCTAGATTAGATATAGATAGATAGATAGATAGATAGATAGATAGATAGATAGATAGATAGATAGATAGATAGATAGATAGATAGATAGATAGATAGGAGGGAGGGAGGGAAAATAGACAGGATGGAATCTCTTTTCAGTCAGGTTGGGATAAGTGTACAGAAGGAAACCAGAAAATGATATAATATCATAGAATCTGATATAGATAATCCTGTGAAGAAAAAGTCAGTAAGATATGTAACAAAATGAAATTTAGTGATGAAAAAAGTAAGGTTCTACATTTAGGCAAGAAAAACCAAATGCACAGGTATAGGATAAGAGGTACCTGGCTCTATAGTAGTACCTGTGAGAGGGACCTCAGAGTCCTAGTGGACAATCCCCTAAATAGGAGCCAGCAGTGTGCTGCAGCTGCCAAAAAGGCCAACACAGTGCTGGGCTGCATTAACAGAGGGATAGAATCAAGATCACATGAAGTAATAATACCACTTTACAATGCCTTGGTAAGGCCACACTTGGAATACTGCATCCAGTTTTGGTCACCACGATGTAAAAAAGATGCTGAGACTCTAGAAAGAGTGCAGAGAAGAGCAACAAAGATGATTAGGGGACTGGAGGCTAAAACATACAAGGGATGGTTGCTGGAATTGGGTATGTCTAGTTTATTGAAGAGAGGGACGAGGGGGGACATGATAGCAGTGTTCCAATATCTAAGGGGTTGACATAAAGAAGAAGGAGCCAAGCTATTCTCCAAAGCGCCTGAAGGCAGGACAAGAAGCAACGGATGGAAACTAATCAAGGAGAGAAGCAACCTAGAACTAAAGAGAAATTTCCTGACAATTAGAACAATTAATCCATGGAACAACCTGCCTCCAGAGGTTTTTAAGAAGAGATTGGACAACCATTTGTCTGAAATGGCATAGGGCAGGGGTAGACAACCTTGGCTCTTTTATGACTTGGGGACTTCAACTCCCAGAATTCCTGAGTCAGGAATTCTGGGTATTGAAGTCCACAAGTCATAAAAGAGCCAAGGTTGCCTACCCCTGGCATAAGGTCTCCTGCTTCAGCAGGGAGTTGGATTAGAAGACCTCCAAGATCCCTTCCAACTCTGTTATTCTATTCTATGGAGCCTGATATCCTCACCGTGATTTCACATTGTTTGCTTCTGCTAGAGATGATTGCCTAGCTAGGCTTTTCTTTAATCCCTTCCTGGCCCTTATCTAATGCTGCTTTCTGTCTCCCTCCCTCAGAAAACTCGGTGGCTGCCAAATCGGGTGGCTGCTTCCCTGGGTCCTCCTGGGTGAACCTGGAAGGAGGAGACACCAAGCTGGTGAAAGACCTTCGCCCAGGTGATCGAGTGCTGGCAGCAGATGTGCATGGACAGCTCTTCTACAGTGAATTCCTAGCCTTCCTGGACCGAGAGGACCCTCCTGTCCACAAACTCTTCTACGTGATTGAGACCCAAACACCCCAGACCCGCCTCTTGCTCACTGCTGCCCACCTGCTATTCGTGGCCCCACCACACAATCATTCCCATTCCCAACCCCAGCCTATCTTTGCCAGCCATGTGCAGCCTGGACAACATATCTACGTGCTGGCCCAAGGGGGTCAGACACTGTTGCAAGCAGCAGTGCATAGTGTGTCCCTGAAGGAGGAGTCCTCGGGGGCTTATGCCCCACTCACCGCTCAGGGCACCATTCTCATCAACCAGGTGCTGGCTTCCTGTTATGCTGTCATTGAGGAGCACAGCTGGGCTCACTGGGCGTTTGCGCCTTTCCGCATTGCTCACGCGGCCTTGGCCGTGCTGAATCCAGAGGGTCTCTCCTCTCCTCTCCTCTTTCCAGCTGCTGTACCCGAAGAGGGTTCCTCATTGGCTGGAGTCCACTGGTACTCCCGCCTCCTCTACTACATTGGCCGCTGGATTTTGGGTTCTGAGATGATGCACCCATTGGGCATGGCCAGCTGAGAGTGACAGCTGGCAAGTCCACTTATACCCTTCTGAAGATTAAAATAGTACCAATGGGGTGGGGGGGAACTAAGATGAAGAAAGAAAGAAAGAAAGAAAGAAAGAAAGAAAGAAAGAAAGAAAGAAAGAAAGAGAAAGAGAAGAAAGAAAGAAAGAAAGAAAGAAAGAAAGAAAGAAAGAAAGAAAGAAAGAAAGAAAGAAAGAAAGAAAGAAATTTTAACAATAATAGTAGGACAGTCCAAAGTAGACTTCAAGGAACAGAAAGAACCCAGGAAGTTTTTGTTTTAGTTTATAAATATAAATATATATATTATATTTTTATTTGATTTATATTTTTTTTGTCCGTCTGCTTTGTTGTCCTCATCTCTTGGATATTTATTTGTTTGGTATTTGAAATAGATGTTTTAAGGAATATGAACCCAACTTCAAGAGCCTTAAATAGTTTCTTTGATAATTTATTATCATGTGAATTGTACACTCACAGGAAAAAGCAAATTATTTTGTGCTGCCTAGCAAAACTGCACAGAGTTCTATTTTTCTATGTATCATGTATGTCCAGAATTTCGAAAAGTGAAAAGCATCTCCTTCTTCCAACTATCCATGGATTTGCTCAGGGGTGTCCGCAGTGAGCAGTGAACACAAATCAAGATGGTGGACGAGAGGATATAATCGAAGCTCCACCTACTTTTTACAAAAAAAAACAAACCAGGTGGAGTTTTGATAATATCTTAATGGTTGTCATTTTGATTTTTTTTGACAGACCCTGCAGACCCCCCCCCTGCCGATTTGATTTTTCCCAATAGCCAGTCTCAGAACAAAAGACACAACGAAAGGGGAGGGGGCATCCGTAAATTATATTTTTATACACAGAATTGTAAATTCTTTTTTTTTTGAGAGAGAGAGAGAGAGAAAGAGAGATCAATACCTAACAGTCACATTTCATTTTTTTTAAATAATGTAAGATATGAGAATATATTATTTTAATTTAAATAATATGAAATGTAATGTCATCTTCTATATGTTTCTATTGCCTCTGAAATATTTTGTTTTGTATAAAAATTAATAGCACGCTTTCATCCACATTCTTCAAACTCAAGACTGTTACACATCTTTATTCAGTGGGGAGGTGGAAGAAATTCTTATTTTTATCTTCAAAATCAAGAAGAAATTTATGAGAAAATATTTTTTAAAACGTGCACAGGTGGGCTATTATGATGAGAATGGAGAATAGTTTGTACAGGCAGGAAATGATGTTTTGCATTAATAAACTGATAAATAACTGCTGTCAATTTACTAAAATGTATTTTTGAATATTTTGTAATAGTTTTATAGAAATAAAATGTGCCATGCACTGACTGGTTAGTATATAATAACAAAGATTTTCTGGTTCATCACATTTGTTTTTAAAGGCTATTCAGATAGAAAATGTGAATATCCAGTCTCAATTTAATGTTGCTATGTGGTCATATTTAGAAAAATTAAAGCAAGAATTGTTAAAGGAAGCAATAGGACAGTCATATTAGCTCATCACCTTTGCAATTAAATAAATGAATCCTGATACTCTTAAATCTCTTTGATTTCTTTCTCCAAGCTCAGAGATAGGTATGTCTGTGTCCATAACGTGGACCAAAAAGTAAAAATGTTACTTTCCATGCATTGTGTGCATGATGTATATTTAAAAAGAATAAAGTTTCAACCTAGAACTAAGGAGAAACTCCCTGACAGTTAGAACAATTAACCAGTAGAACAACCTGCCTCCAGAAGCGGTGAATGCTCCAACACTGGAAGTTTTTAAGAAGAAACTGGACAGCCATTTGTCCAAAATGATATAAGGTTACCTGCCTGAGCAGGGGGTTGGACTAGATGACCTCCAAGTTACCTTCCAGCTTTATTATTATTATTATTATTATTATTATTATTATTATTATTATTATTATTATGGATCATTGCACAGTCAGCCAGATGTTCAGACTGGGTTTGGCATTTTGTCTACCTATCGAGTCCTTACCCAGGACCTGGGATAGGCAGATGTGGATGTTTGATGGTATTACAGATATTGTCGCAGGATAGCAGTATTCCTAGTAAGGCCACCTTTTGCAATTGACTAATGGCGAATTTGTCAATGCCAATGGTGTCCAAGTGGTGCTCCAATTGTTTTGGGATTGCACCCAAGGAGCCTATGACTATTGGTACTACTCTTGCTAGCTTTTGCCACAGTCTTTCTATTTCTATTTGTAGGTCTTTGTATTTTGTTATCTTTTCCAGTTCTTTCTCATCTATTCTGCTGTCTCCAGGCACTGCCACATCCACTATCCAGACTTTTTTGTCTATTATTATTATTATTATTATTATTATTATTATTATTATTAAGATTGTGGATGGATCGAAAGAATCTAAAGCAATATTTCTCAGCCTTGGGAATTTTAAACTGTGTGGACTTCATCTCCCACAATTTCTCACCCAGCCTGAAGTCCACACAAGGTTGAGTTCCCAAAGAAGCAATGATCTAACACCTTTGATATTGTCTGAGACCTAAGCAAATTTGCATGACTTGTTTTCCACTGATTTCATCAATGATTCTATGAAGCCGGAAGCAATATTTTAATATAATTTTCTCTGCAGGTACTATGAATTAAGCAAGAGCAGCAAGCTCAAGAAAAATTATGGACTGTCCTATACATTTTACCTTGTTGCATATTTTAAAATGACCCAATGGGACTATAGTTGGTTAAAATGACTTTTAAGTTGCATTGACTGCTCTCAATCTACTGAAAATATTACTTGCAATTCTGGGCTTCCTAAAAGGTTTGCTCAGGATTGATTGAAGGGATAAAACAGAATGCAAAAATGTGGTTGCATCTCTTTATCTTCTTTCTAAGTCCCCCCCCCTTTTTCAGACTCCTTCTAAAACAGTGGTTCTCAATCTTTTTAATGCCGCGACCCCCAACCGGTCGTAAGTCGAGGACTACTCAACTGGTGCAGCACCATTTGCAGAATGGGACTTTTGGCGGGCTCAGCAGGGCAGAGACAGCCTGGACAACTCCTATTGGCTTTTGAAAGCCAATGGAATTAGACTATTCAAGAGAGTCTATTCTATTGGCTTTCAAAAGCCAATAGAATAAAAGGGAGTAGCACAGCTAAGGAAAAGGGGGAAAAATGGCGGACTGTGTTGTTTGGCGACAACAGAGGGGAAATACTGATAGTCCTTGACTTACCATCATTTCCTTGAAAGACAATAGTCCTGGCAAGTGATTTACAACTTGTCCTTGCCATTACAGCTCTTGCCACATCCCCACAGTCCCATGATCAAAATTCGGATGTTTGGCAACTGGCAAGTATTTACAACAGTTGCAGCATCCCAAGGTCATGTGATCATTTACAACCTTCTAAGCTGGCTTCCAACAAACAAAGTCAATAGGGGAAGCGAGATTCAATTTACAACTGCAGTGATTTGCTTAACTATGGCAAAAAAAGGTTGTAAAATTGGGTGTGGCGTTCTTAACAACTGCCTTGTTTAGCAACAGAAATCCTGGTTCCAATTATAGCTGTAAGTCGAGGACCACCGATATATGAAACCATCTCTTAGCCAGTGCAATATTTTTTCCTACATTTGGTGACATCTATCTGGATTCTAGGAAGTCAAAATCTTAGTGCCGTGCCTTTTTTACATATTTTCTCATGTATTTTTCCTCTTTGTACAGGACTATGTGTAGCAAATAAGGGGCTATAAAAAAGTCAAGATGCATCTACAGTCTTTGAAGCTGTTCTTTTACTTTTTTGTTGTTGTTTCACATTGTTCAGATGGATTTACTAGTGACTGATCAACCATACCCAGCAGGTAGCCCTTAATGGAACTATATGTGTGTTCAGTTATGATCATCCAAAAAAGATGTTAGGACCCCAGGAAGAGTGCAGAAAAGAATAATAAAGATGATAAGGAGTCTGGAGCTAAACCACACGATAAACAACTAAGGGAATGTCTAACAAAGAGAAGGCATCTACATGGAGGGAAGTATGCAGTGGGATATCCCAAAGCTCTGTTTTAGGCCCACTACTCTTCAACATCTTCATCAAGGACTTGGATGAGGGGATAGATAGGGAATGCATCAGATTTGCAGATGACACCAAGCTGGCAAGAATAGCCAACTCACCAGAAGACAGGCTTAATGTAAGAACGTCCTGCTGATGTGTGAATTAAATAGACCACCAGGTACGTTGCAGTAGCCAACAAAGGTTTATTTTGCTATGTCGAAAACAAAATCAGCTCTGGAATACACGCCGTTCCCGCGTCCTAATAAACCCCATCACCACACCCACCGCGTCCGCCCCAATTACCCTAATTACCCCCGTAACTTGCAACCCCACCTGCACCACCCCCCTGTTGCCACATGTGTCGTCCCTCAGGTCCATTATGCGTTGGCGCATCTTCGCCTCCGCCCCGCCCTCTCATCCCAACACCAACCATCTGTCAGACCCAGCGTCATAGAGCAGCGCGGTCGTCCCACACAATGCTGGCCTATCCCATTTCCCTGTCCGACATGGTAATCAGCCACGTGGTCCGCCCGTCATAGTGAAGGCGTCGGCCTCAGTCCCAAGACGGTGCCGTCGCTCGGCTCCGGCAAGGCTGGACGGAGTTCCGTTCGGAGGTACGGGCGCCGGTCAATGTCCGCCCATGGGTAAGACAAGCTGGGTCTGACATTCGGCTTCCCCTCACCACAGGGCCCCCTAAAATGAAATAGAAACAGTTACGTGTCCATCCTATCTGTCCTGGGATTGTCACCTATCCCCCTGTGTTCCTCGGTTTGTGTGGCCACATCCTGTGATATCGACGGGTGAGAGCAGGGGCGAGAACATCTTCCTCCCGTACCCAGGATGCCTCCGATACGGGGTATCCCTTCCACAAAACTAGGTAATACATATTGCCCCTCCGCCACCGGGAATCTAGTATATCCTGTATTTCGTATCTTCCCGGAGCAACGGGTCCTGGGGGAGGTTCGTTGTGGGTGTCTCCTTCTACCGGCTTTAACAAACTCACATGGAATATTGGGTGTATCTTACCAAATAATTCTGGCAAGTGCAGCTGTACCGTAACGGGGTTGATGATGCGTACTATGCGGAAGGGCCCGATGTATTTTGGCGCTAGCTTCTTGCATGGCACCTGTAACTTAATATATTTGGTTGATAAGTACACCCGGTCACCCACTCTCAATTGCATAGGCATTCTACGACCCTTGTCGGCCTGCTCTTTCGCTACCTTTTCCGCATGTTGTAACGCCTGTTTGACCGTACTCCACACCTGATGTGCACGGGACATCCAGTCTCCGGGGCGTAGGTTCACGGCTCCCTGCAGCTCGGTCCCAGGTAATGGAACTGGATCGTACCCGTACACTACTTGGAAAGGGGTTAGTCCGGTGCTTCTATGCACTGCGTTGTTATACGCTAATTCCGCGAATGGCACGAAATCTATCCAATCCGCCTGCTGGTAAGATACATAAGAGCGGAGATATCGTGAAATTGCTGCATTAGCCCGTTCCGCTGCCCCGTTGGTACAAGGGTGGTATGCGGAACTCAGGCCCTGTGTGGTTCCGATGCTTGCAAGGAATCTACGCCAGAATTGGGCCGTAAACTGAACGCCCCGGTCTGAAATAATTCTACGGGGCGCTCCATGTAAGCGATATATGTGCTGCACGAACAGTTTCGCTAGCCTCCTTGCAGACGGTAGTCCCTTGCAGGGGATAAAGTGTGCCTGCTTCGAGAATAAGTCAACAACCGTCCATATTACCGTGTAACCCCTGACGTTTGGTAACTCAACAAGGAAATCCATTCCGATGTCCTGCCAGGGGCGAATCGGATTAGCTACTGGTTGTAGCAGCCCCATCGGCCTCTTCGGTACTACTTTAGCCTGTGCACAATTATGGCATTCTTTGACGTAACGCTCAATGTCTTTTCGCAAACTGGGCCACCAAAACCGTCGTCTCGCCAGGTGGAGCGTCTTGACGAAGCCAAAATGGCCTGCCACCTTGGAATCGTGACATTGGTGAAGCACCCGATGACGCATTTCCTGAGGAATGTACAACCTATTCCTATACCAAACCAACCCATCACGACGGGTTAATAATCCGGGGTTTGCCTGCAACCAGGGATCAGTCAACAATGCAGCTTGCAGTTCTTCCTCGAACGTCACCACTTTTGCACATCCTTCCACCTGCTCGGGATCCATACTACATATCGGCATAATAGCCTGGAACACTTGTTCCTTTTTACTATCGTACTGTGGTAGCCGGGAGAGTGCATCTGCTAAGAAATTCTTTCCTCCAGGCACCACCTTCAAGCGGAATCGGAAACGCTGAAAATACTGCGCCCATCGAACATG